ACCTTACATATTTTTATTGGCCAAAAAATGAGGCTACAATACCAAAGAGTATGCCAATGATACCTTAACACTTCCGACGCCTGTGTGACAAGATGTGTGACGCCCCCCAGCCCATCTCGCACATGTGATCTTTTCAATTTTTAATTTTATAAATGTAAAAATATTGACGGGAGGGAGGGAGAAAGCCCACATCGTCTATCACATTCTTTGGCCAGATCTTCCAACTTGTTCACACGTAGAGTTCACTCAAATAATATATAACCTCTAGAAAATACTTCATATCCAATGAATAGACATAAACCAGACCAATTCCATCAACTCCATCTAATTAACATTGAAATAGAAAGAGAGAAAACTAGAGACAGAGAGACTGTAATTAGGTCATGTACGCATTTAATAAAATAAAAATTCAGGTTCAATCCACAAAATCATATCCAAAGATATTGGAGGTTCAACACTTGGAGCCATCATAAAACTAGTCAAACTCCATCAATTAACAGTAAGAGAGAGGAAGATAGTCAGAGAGAATGCAATTAGCTCAATATTGAAAGACATGAAAACAAAATTGTAACATCTGAAAATACAAATCATAACAGCTGAAAACACAGTCGTAACAAGTGGAAAATAGAATCAAGTTTTGACAACCTTGGTGTCTGTTTCTGAGGCAATGCTCTTGATTTTGTCCTCCTCCACAGCTTCTTTGGATAGGGTAACGAATCCACGCCATCCGTCTTCAACCTTCAGTTGGACGAGACCATAACACAAGAGCAAAATATCAACTGTTTCTTCGCCTCTTTCATTTATACGCTTGCTTCTTCGACGACCGATTTTGCCCTATCAAATTCATCTCTAGCTTCTTTCAGGTGCTACATGTTCGCCATCAAGTATCGCAGCCTCATCAAACTCACCGGAACTCTATCGATCTTCCGGCTCCGTTTTCTAGTGGATGTCGTACATCTGTTAGTGCGGTAATAAAAAATGATGTACATCGTTTATTGTGTATTGAATAATCTACCGTCATTGATTATAAAATAAAAAAAATAATAAATATATACCTAACATATTTTTATTGACCAAAAAATGAGCCTACTATACCAAAGAGTATGCCGATGGTATTGTAACATTTCCGAAGCCTGTGTGACAAGATGTATGACGCCCCTGGCCCAACAGACA